TTCTATTAAAATTTTTGGTATATTAAGAACAACAATGCATGCACCTTTAAAGCACTAATATTAGAAACACGGATATTGTGAGTTCCTGTGGGAATTAACCAAGCTAAATTTTGTTGGAAAAAATAAATGTCAGCTTATATTTTTGGATGAGTTTTCTGCTGTAAGAGACGTATGTCTATTACTCAGCAACTCATAGACTTTGCAGAAACAGAGTGCTCATCCCTAAATAATACATTTGTATTGCACAAGGTAGTTTGTCGAAAACATAATACATGTCATTAAAATAGAAAAGAAATGTAGTCAGTTTCTTCCTCTGAATCTTTCCAAGCCATCTTGTGTCCTGACCACCTTTGCTCTCATGCATCAGAGCTGCAGCCCCTGTCCACAGCTGTGAGCAGGCTGGCTGCGGACACAGCTCCAACGTGGATGAACACAGATCAGCAAAAGAATCCCTCCATGTCTGAAACAATACAGTATGTCATTGATCATTTCTTCTTTGTGTTCCACACCTCTCAAACTGCTCTCAAAAGTGTTCAGCTTTGCATCCTGGTGTCATTCGTTAGCCCAAATGAAGAAGCTTGCTGTCCCTATAGATCATCTGTATTGGAAATGCATCCTGAAGCTCTTATTCTCACAAGAGCAAGATACAACTGTTTATTCTGTAGCAGAACCTCAAATACACTGGCCTGGCCTAGCTCACAGCTTGAAGTGCATGTTTCTTCTGGGGGTCAGAGGGGAATTGAAAAGGCTTTTTGGTTTATACACAAAAGAGGGCTAGCATATGTAGACCCCCTGATACTTGGCTTCAGATAGATCTGGAGGGACAGATGAGCGTAATAAAGAGGGATTTTAACTTTACCTTTTTAAGCAAGTGATATGTTTAGTCTCAGCAAATATGAGAGAAGGTAGCTAATGCTTTACAAACTGGGAGATGTGATTTCTGTTTCACAGGTTATCAGATGTTCATATGAACATACGGTACTGTGGTGTCAAGTCCATATCAAACGTAAGCTGCAACTAAGCAAAACTTTGTTCATGAACTGAGAGGGGGGTGGGGGTTGGAGGGGAAGTGTAAAAGAAGGCTTGATGCAAGTTTGGAGAAACAAAGTAAAAACAAATCAACGAACAACATCCAGTTTCAAGAGTGAATCTGAGGTTAGTTTTTGTCATCAAGTTAATGTGTGGACAGAATAGGAAAGAAAAAATGAATGACATTTCTGAGGAGGCACAGAGCCTCATTACACATTTCAGGTGGCTTAGAGTTAACGACTGTGTGTGGAAACCTCGTTAAGTAGATTTTACTTCAGATGAGCCTTGCATAGTACTTTTAAAACTGTTCGTGTTTAGATAGCAGTAAGGGAGTCCTACCTGTTGCTACCTGAACTCTGCCAGGTAACGTGCAGAAGTACAGCGTTCATGAAATGTGAAGTTAATTTTGGTGTAGCAAGTCTGTGCAAGGTTTCGGTATATAGTGTTTAATATAGGAAGGATACTTTTACCATTAGAGTAGCTCAGGGGCCTACACTTTTTATTTCTAGCATATATTCACTGACTTCTGCTGAGCTACTGCAATAATATAAGCTAATTAATGCTTTTGTTACTGACATTAACAGTGTTAAAGCAATTCTGGTAACAAAACAACACCACCAACAGGCAATGCTAGTAAAAGCGACGTGGCAATGCACATGAAAAGCTGCCTCTTATAACAGAATACAAAAGCAGCAGATAGAGAATTGATTGAAGGCACAATTCTATTTCCAGCAATTGTTCTTAGCTGAAGAGCCAAAGGGTTTTCTGTTCCTTTAATGGAGGAACCAAAGACTTACCCAGATATAACAGATGCCAAGGTTTAACTGGTCTGTGCAGTTGCATTTAAACCCCAAGGGTTTCCACAAGATAAGGCAGTGAAATGCTGGCAGCAACATTGTGAGGAAAGAGGTTGTGGTCCCTTACCAGCATTACCATCAATATGAATCATAGGCCATAGTCATCACTACACAGATGTCAGCATTAGAATCAAATGTGAGGTATTTTCTCACTTTTTTTCCAATCTACTAGAATAAACAGAAGGTCAACGTCTTATTTTAAGTTGCTAATTTTAGTCCCTCATTCTGTTAATTTGAATCAGTTTTGTAGCATAAGTTCATTTATTTAAGCTCTTCAACATTTGAACCATGATTTATGAATGCCTATGAAAACATTAGCTAGTTGAAGTGGTTAAAATACTGGGTTTGGATAAATCTTTAAATACTTAAATAAAGCTTTGTATTTATGTGATCACAAAGGCATACATTTGCAAGTAACGTACTTTGTGACCACATTCCCAGTTAGCTGCACAAAAAACCCACATCAGATTGCAGCAAGGTATTTCTTAGATATATTCAGCCTTTTTTGAAACCAGTTTTTCTTTTCTGAAATATTTTTTGTTTGTAAAGATGACCATGTTAGAAAGGCAGTGATGTGCTGTACCATGGTGTGCTTTTTTGATTAAGAATCACCTATAATTTTCTTTGTGTTAGAGACTCTTTTCCTAGTTGGATTACAGACTGAAAGGCTGACCCTCATTATTTAGAGGCATTAAAACTCTAAATGCAAAAAATAAGTTTATGTTCTAAGATCTTCCACATAAACCATCAAAGAATTAGGAAGCAGCATCATTCTCCTATATGTCCTCCTACAGAGGACTCTTCTGCCCCAGTTATCTTTTAACTGAAGCATACTGGAAGGAACATTGCAGTACTATAACATGTAGCTATAAAGAGGTGCAAATATCCAGGACCTGGTACTTACTGAGTTTCCTTTTATTGTAATTTTCTTGGGAAAGAGAGAAACTTGTACTATCTGGCAATTTAAGTAAATAAGACTACTGTCTTCCTTTTAGTGTTATAATGGTTGATAATTTGGGACAAAGTTGTTAAAGCAGGTCAGGGAATCAGAATAGAATTTGGATTCCTGCAGGGTAACACCTGACTGCCTACCCCTGAAGTGCTACAATCACAGTACAGAGATGTGGCAGGTTCTTGTTAAAGCTTTGTACTATGTTCCCTTATTGACACTGTATCTCATGTTCCATATTTCAGGCTCTTATTCTAGTTCTTCACATGTTTCTTTCTCATATAACATTGTTAGCAGAATATCCTAAGTGAAGAAAGGCAGTGGTTTTGGTCAGTATCTTATTCCTCAAACTCTGTATTTCTGCAGAATAAAACTAGGAAATGAGTAAATATATGGTTTGGACACAGAATGCACAGTGAGGTTTGTGCTGGAATACTGCACTTGTGGAGATGTGAGATTAAAAAAGAATTGATAGGATAAAAGACAGAGTTTTGTTACAGAGTTGTACTGGGAAACTAGCATAGCATCTGTCCTCCGCACCTTGTTCTTAGACTTATAAAGTCCATTTATTCAATTAAAATAAGCTCAGGTAACAGAACATAATTCAGCATCTATTCTAATGACATCCTCTTCAAGCAAACTGGAATATGATACTTTCCATAGAGTAGGAGGACAAGTTACATCATCTGGATTTTTCACATATGTTGTTGATTTAAAAGGACTGACTAGTTAGTTGTTGATGGGTAGTGCTTGAATTCAGGTATGCTAGACAGCTTTTAAAAAGGGGGGAGGGGGAAGAGAACCAGACACATCTTTTTCCCATTGAAACTGGCAGGACAAGCAGACACACAGCAGTCTTTAACTCACATTCAACCAAGTTCTATTATATTCATACTTATTGTTGTGCAGTTCTGCAAGTTGGGCTGAAAAAAAAATTTGGTCACCTCAAATCTACCTGTAGTACACAGGGGGAGGGATTGAGATATTGAAGTAATGTCAGCCTCATTCAAAAAGAGCATTAGTACAGTACTGCTGGAGAGGAAATGACTGGAAGATGAATGCAGTGATCTTCTTTCAGAAACCCCCAGTATTTAAACAAGTATCTTACAAAAATCTAGGCACAGGTGTCCAAGGAATAAAAAAAACAAAACAAAGGATTGCCAAGAACCACTACCCTCTGGAAGACTTTTCAAAAATAAGTTGTTTTTGCATATATCCATTAGTCTTTAAAACCACCAGACAAACCTTGTGTATAGAATATTTATAAATACTGTAGCAGTGGTAGTGGTCAGCAGGGCTGCAGAAAATAGAAAATCCAGGGGTTGGTCTGTATCTTCAGGGAATTTATGAATTCCTGTTCTGTATTTTTTGCATGTTGGTTTGGTGGCGGTAGTGGTGTGTATGCCCAATGTTAAAACTAAATGCATGAGCCCCTTGCTTGATGCCCCACATAAAGCCAGATACTGGGGAGGTTGCACCCAATTTTTGTTGTTGCTTCCTTATGTCTTGCTGTTTGACATAGGACATCAACATCGCAGGAGATTGGATATCACCAGCTTGCTGTTCACTGTTAACATTCAATTCTAATAACACAATTTACAAAACTGTCCACTCTCCTTCGAATGCAATGTCTCTGCTATATTTTGCACCTTACTAAGATTCACTTATGGTCAATAGTGCAGTAAGAGCTCACAGAGGCACTCACTTTTTTGTCACACTGGATTACATAAACTAAATTCTGGTGTAGCCAGAGATGGGCACTTGCTCTGAGAACTCAGGTCTCCATGGGCTGACGTATTTCCAGTCCTGGCACTTATGACTCATTCTTTTCAGTTGTACAAATGCATTCCTGGCTTAGTGGAAACGTGTTACTGGGAGCTGAAAGTTTCTACAAATTTAGAGCACCACTTGAAGTACTACGGAAATAAATGTATTCTGTATGCCAGTATGATCTTTAAACTGCATAAGGAAACCAGTACTTGATATTATGCTGCAGAAAGCATGCAACTAAATTCCTTAAATAGTTCTTGGAAAAGTTACTGGTTAAACTGTCTCAGTGTGAGCCTTTCACTTTACTATGACCTTAGCAATGACTTTGTTCTTGTTATATCTAACTAATGTCTTGCATTTTTCTGTTCTCATCTCCTTTTGATGCAATCTGGAAGAAATGTCAAAAAACGAAGGTTCGATCCAACTCAACAAGGCCCTATCTGAAGAGATGCCATTCAAAAAGCTGTTTCTTGCACTACTGGATTTTGGGTATGATGTCTTTGCTGTAGGTGCACAGGAACTAAATCTGTAAGGAAGAACTTGAGAAACAGTGACTAAACACAATATTGGGATATTGGAATGTGAGTTGGTAGAACACTGTCCTTTTTGGAGATAAGTTGGAAATACTTCCTCTATTCACCTTTCTCTTGGTAACATTAACTGACAAGTGTTACAAGCAAACTGTTTCAAAATCAGGTGTTTTTTTTTCCTCAAACAAAGGAGACACACAGACCAAGTGCAATAAGAGAACTGCTCCAAAATAATGGAATAGCAGAAGATTCTTTTCCCAGCCTGCTGGCACTCTTAACTTCACTTGAGTTCGCATGACTTCCTTTTTCTTATCAAACTCCAGTGGCATGAGGAGCTAATTTTGAAAGGGTAACCTGCATGGCTCACATACAAACAACCAAGTTAGCAAGCTGACCCCAAGCAAAATCTGCAGCCCAATAAATACAAACCACTGGGAAGCCAGTGCCAGGCTTCAATAGCTTTTCCAGCCACGCAGTGCATTCTGCTGCTGGACTTGAGGGTTCCCTGCTCCATGAGCTCACTGTCCACCTTGTTTTGGTCTCCTGTTAGTTATGGAAGCTAGTGAATGATGGATGGAATTTTTCCAAGAAAGAAAAAGTGTAAATATGGAAATAAGATTTTGATGTATCATTTTCACAGATTATATATAAATATATATATATAAAAAAGAGAAAAGAATTTCCATATAAAAAGGTTCTATTCTTTATGTAAATCTATTTTTGATGTTGGGTTTGGTTTTGGGTTTTTTTTTCTCCCCTTTTTTTCTGTAGCATGTTGTACAGCGGATGTTCTGGGCTTGCTCAAAAAAAGGCAAATAGCATGCAGATGCAGGGAGTTCTGACACCAAACAGATGTGATCTGAAGTTTGTATGCTTGAAACCAAAAACAATTAAAATGTATAAATGCATATCTATGTATTGACTATAAGTCTGGATTACTTTTTTTGGCTGTTATGCAGACTTTTCCATAATATAGGATAAGTAACACCCTCTCAAGATAATCACAGAAGTGCCAAGCTCTTTTTTTTTTAAGTGTAGCTAGTTTTTTTCCTGTAAAATAAAAACTTAAATAAGCCTTAAAATACTCACAAAATGTTAAAAGCTTGGAATGAGTTATTCTTCTCTTGCCTTCTGCCCATCCACTCAAAGCAACTTGCAAAGGTGACTGACATTTCTAACTCACTCCCTGTATCTCTTTGATGCATCTCACTTTTCAAAGTTTAATGCAAGATTAATACTTTGACCCTTGGCTACTGATAGCCAGTTACCATCACAACGTGTACAGAATGCCATGTAAGTTCAGGGGGTTGTGTGTTGTTATTACTTTTAGATACACCTTGCATACAAGCAGATTTTTGCAGAGAAGTCCTGGGCAGCAGTACCGTGCCCCAGGAACCAGGCTAGCCTGGCTGCATCTGCCTTGAGAAAGGTATGGGCAGATGTCTAGGCCTCCCTAAAAGTATAGAGCTGTCCAGTCTGGCTCATCCTTTGCATCTTGGCTTAAAACAGGTAATTTGGTCATTGTAAGTGAAGTGACCTAAAAATTTAATTTCTGCGTCTGATAATCAGAATTAAAGACTTTTGTAATTTTGGCTTTAATTTAAAAGTTGAATATTAGTAACAACAGAAGCCCAGTTACATTACATACTCCATCTTTTTTCAGTGAAATCCATTACCCAAGTTAGCTTTAAGAGCCAAAACATTAAGAAAATGCTGCAGATTTCCTGTGACTTAGAAAACATCATTTCAGTTATTTTTCTTATTATGATAATGTTCAATTCAACAGTCTCACAAGAGAGGTACAATATATTGTTTTGCTTGACAGTTATTATTAAATTTTTTAATCAGCTTTAACATAATCACATTAACACAACTACATTATGAGTTAAAGGTGCTGCACACAGGTAGTTGACATTACTATGAATTATAAATCTTATTCTGAATAATTCCTGCCTGGTTTCAAGCAAAATTACATTAGTGACAATCCTTTGATGGCAAACCAAAAATACTTGCAACTATATTATGGTTATCTAAAAATGCTTTGCTTCATAACATCCAACTTTGTTAGGGTTCTGCTTCCAAAGCAAGCATAACCCACAACAGAAACACTAGTGGTTACCAAAAATTAAAATAAGTAAAATCAACTGGATATACATAAACTACCTGTGTAATAAACCTTGAAGAAGCATTTCACAAACAACATCATTAGTGTGTGATGTGATGTTTTAAATCAGACCACAGTGGTCCCCAACTATTATGAACATATGTTCAGTGCTGGAGTAACTTTTTTATTTACACCAGCCCTTTCATAGGACTTACAATTTCTTGACTGAATTTATGCTTCACTCATCAGCCATTGTGTGTACGTGGAAGAACACATTCGCCTTCTGCCCTGTGTGTGCACAACACAAGTGACAACACAGCTCAGAGTAGGTACTGGATGAAGTGCTTCTCATGGCAGTAGATAAAAAATTGGGTTTGGTAGGTGTTGATTTTCTACATCCCACCTTTGCTGTGCTTTGGGAAGTGCATATCCATTTAGTGTTACTTTGTTCATTGCAAAGTGTCATCAAAAGAAGACTGGGTTGACTCTGCCTCCATTTCATCCACTCTACATTTGCTCCATTATTTACCTACTCAGTTGGACAAGAAACTGTGGTAACTGTATAGCTCATTCCAGTTTGCTGCATGATCTTATGATTTGATCTGATGCTCCTAAAAGAGAAGTCTGCTAGGCAAATTAACAGCTGTATAGGTGCATGTTCAAAGAAAAAGATTACTTAAGGCTGGAGTTTAACCAATTTTTCTTTACTATGCAAAGATGGGTATTGCACAAACAGATGAGACAAATGTCTGAGGAAATGCCATAGAATACTTGAAGCTATGTTTTAAGCCTAATCAGTCATGTTTTATATTCATTACTGCTTCCACTGTTATTCTTCCTTTTTAAAATGATTTGTAATTATTTTTTTAAGTGCACAACTTGATGTTGTTATAAATCAAGTTTCTGTTTGAAGTTAATACTCATTCATATCCTGTTGGCTGCTAATGAATGGAAATTCAATAGTCCTTGTTCTGCATATTAGCAAGATGAGTATTAAAAATGTCATGAACGTGGAACGGAGTAGTTTTTAATTTTCAAATTTTTTTTCTGTATTTATTCTCTCAGTTTTATTTAATTTCTGTGTTCAAGGAATTATCACCTGGTAGCGGAAATTGACTGGAGTTTTCCTTTATCAAAGATCTCTAACACTGTTGGATCTCACAGCGAGGTTCTGTCTACGAGAGGACATTGCACACAGGCTTTCCAACGTGCATGGAACCAGAGCATCGGCACCCAGGGCTTGCCAGGCCTGCTTCAGTCCCAGCTGCTGGTGTCACTGAGTTGAATGAGACCTGGATGCATTTGTAAATCGAGGCGAGCCTTTTGCAGCTCAAAAATCTGAATTACATAATGACAAGAGTCTAAAATGAGGCCTTCAAAGTATTTTAAAAATAATTACATCATAATAACCAGATTATACGGTCATCATTTCAATGGATTACTGAATGAAACTCAGCTTCCCTTTTTGGATTTTTTCCAGACTAACTCTAGTGACGCCAGCCTGGGAAAACTAAAGGCATGCATGTCACAGTTACCAGATAACTACTGATATTGTTTTGCTTTCTCCAGCTCCAGACAGGGAAACAAAAACAAAATGCACTTTTGTCTTAATATCTCCCAAGGTTATGTATGAAAGTATGTTTCTCATTTAGAACTATAGAGCAAGGGAACACTCTCATTAATGGATCCACTATCATCCACTTTTATTTCCTGTCATTTGAATCTAGGACTTTTCTATAAACTCAATACAAACATGCAATGTTTTGGCTATAATTAGAATAGACAGCCATTCCTTAAAATAAGAGTCAAGTCTTTTGCAGCATATCAATAGAAAAGCAATATAGAGATAGATGAATACCGACTTTTGATTTTACCAGAAAAAATTCTTAGAATTGTTTTTGAAAACTTTCACAATTACATCACAAAAAACTGAAGAGTGATCATGCTGGGGTATTTAAGTATCAAGAACAAAATCAATACAACAACAAGCCATCTTTTACAAACCCAAAAAATCCTTTTTTTTTTCCTAAATGCACTTACAATAGATTCCTACCCATGTGAGCTGAAAAGTTAATGTAAAATGAATCATCCATCAGTAGTATCACAGAGACTGTTTAAGTACCCTTGGAAAGCTTAAAGAAAAAAATAAGTAAATAGGAATTTTAGCGGCAGTGATGCTCAAAATGGTACTATTGAAAGCAAAAGGTCTCAAAAACATTATCTTGAAGCCACACATAATGTAATTCAGTGCAGTGATTTATTGCTCAGAACTCAGCAAACATGGTTTTTTTGGCCTGTTGTCTAAGTTATTTTGTGGGAGCATGTAACCCAAGAGGAGACATGATCCCTAGGTAAGTACAAGGACTCCACATCAGACCAGCAGCAACATCCACAACTCAAACTTGTGAGAGTAGCATAATTCTGAATGCTCTAATTTGTAGTAAGCTTGTAATTTGTTCTTGTTAAAATTTTCTTTTAAAAGATCTTGTTTTTGTCATAAGTCACAAGATACCCCTCATCTTTACCACTAATACTATAACAGACCATGCTTTAGTGTGGCACTTTCTGAGCCAGTATAAGAATTTCCCCATCAAAGCTGGTAACTCAAGGCATGAAGGAACTAAATCCTTTTTACTTGCTCTTGCAAGCAAGATGCAGCTGTGCCCAGCATCCATCATACAACCCCAGGGGAAACAGGTCAGTTCTCTCAGCACTGACCTAACCAGTGCCTCAGTCTCCCAGTAGCATCCCCCACAAAGGACTGGGTTTAGTCTGTAGCTCTGACCCGGGATTTGGTCCTCTTCAGGATACACACAGTTATGTGACACTGAACTGTGGAGAGGCAGAAGACGGAGCAAATTTTCTGATCCAAGTTCAGTTCTCAGAAAGATTATATGTATATATCTCATACATTCACAGATCTACTCAGCCATCAGATCAGCTATTAAAGGCTTTGAATATATTTTAGAGACTGTGAAGCAATATGTTTGCATCCGCACTACATCAAGAAGTTGAGAGTTCATTAAAACTATATTTTAATTGGTGACCAAGGTGTAAGCATGACACACTCCTTAACATTACACACTGATAATATGCTGTGGTTTATAACATCTGTTTTGCCTTTTCTGCAGAAGGGAAGTGTCCCCACACATAAACACACCCTGCTTTTCTGCAGTCTAACCTGGGCAGCGTCCAGCTGAATAATGACACAAACAAACAGTACTTTTGACAGGTTTCCTATCTCCAGCTGAGACGGCAACCAGTTTATTCTCAAGAATGAAATGTGTCAAAATAATTCAAACCTAGTGCTACTTGCGCAAGCTTTAAGATAAATTTTAAAATAGTAAGTTCAAGACAGCTGTGCTAAACTTGGTTCCATATACGTTGCAGGAATCACTGGGCTAACAACTGACAGCTCCCAGCTTCCCCGTTTGATTCCTTTGAAAGTATTTTGTACATATTGGAAACAAGAATCAGTATCCTTATGCGTGTTGCCCTCACATGTTAGATACAAGATATAAATTTAACAATTTGCCTTGAAATAGAATAAGCACTGACCTTATTAATTCAGGATAGTTTTCCTTGGATTGGGTCTTTGGGTTGCTGAGGTTTTAAACATCTACTATGTATCTGCTCTTTAGAGGGGATTCTTTAACACACATATTACTTGGGATGCTATGGATTCACAGCACAGTGAAACACTCCTAATCAGTACATAAAAGCTTTACTGTTACAAGAAAGGAGTATTTAGTATTGCAGAAACCTGAACAGATCTATGCCTACTGTCTAATCCAGGCGATGGGGCATCTGGATGCCTTGTGGAGCTGCAGCACAACCAAATATTCACAGTACTTGTAACAGCAGAGGTATTTTCTTAGAGAGAAATGCCTCTTCCCCTCCCTGCAGCACCAGCTGATTTTCCTGGGACCCTGCAGCTTTTACTCAGCATAGTAAAGTGTCCAAGGACACTTGCACAAAGGTAATGGGAGTTGTGCTGAATTGCACCTTTTTCTGTCAAGCTGAAGGAAGTGCCCAGATCATAGTGGCACAACACCTCCCTCCTTTCCCCTAGTCAGTGTGCCAGGCTGTGTGGCAGCAGCACGGTGGACACTTAAAGCTCCACCTCTCTATAGCACTTAAGTTTGGCAAAGCCTGAATTTCAGCTGTAGTGCAGTCACAAAAATATGCTAACACTCATCTCTTCAGCTTAGTGTAAACAGAGATGTTTATCTCCCTAACAAGGACCTCTCCCCAAAACATGATTTATAGCAGTCTGGTTTGCTCCAAAACACACCAAAAACTATATAATTAGAGAATGACTGTACAGTTCTTGCTGTAGCAGTGCTCATGGTCATGTTAAGCAGTCTTCATCAGTGCTTTCAAAGAGAGGGCTCCGGCTACTTCTAAAATACAAGAACCACAGTCTAAACCTCTGTACTCCATTCATATATTTATGTTGGCATTTGACATATTCTGACCGTCCATTTCCTCCACAGACCTTTTCCCTTGTCAACATGCCCTGCTCTTAAGGGTGCCACAACAATGAACTTGGATGCAAAGTGCACAAACAAGCTTTGGAGTTGGTCATTTCTGCCCTATTTCCTTTCAGGCACATCTGAACTTTGTATTGCTATTGCAAGACTTGCTCCATTATGAAGTTATTCTTACAGATATTGTTAACAATTGTTATCAATAACATAGTGTACAGATAATGCATGCTTGACTAGGGTTTCTGTGCAATGAGAAAGCAGTTCCAAGAAACTGGAACTATTATAGTGCCCTCCAGCACTGAAAAGCTTCACTGAAAAGCTTCAGGAAATTAAAGATTTTAAGTTCTCCTTTGTGTAATGAGGAGGTCCTGAACTCAAGACTGAAAATTGCCTCATATGCAGAAAGGAAGATACAATTCCCTTACATAGCAGAATCCTGTCCATGTGCTGTTGCATCAGAAGGCTGGACAAGTAGATAAAAGATTCAGGTCCCGTTATATTTTTGCTTCAGTTTTCCTTCCTCTGATTTGGCTGGGCATTTTTCACTTCAAACATATGATCTCTGGGACAGGAACTGTCTTACTCAAAGGTAACCTTTAGCAGCAAGCTAAGGGAGCTCTGGTTTTGGGCAGACTTGTTTGGCTGATAGGTTTGAGACACCACCTTTTTAATACACACAGGTATTAAAAAAATAAATTATAGTCTTTGTGAAATAGGCAGCTTTTTAGCTATGCCTAATTAATAATAGGAGAGAAAGGACCTAGTTAAATCAAACTACAGTCTTTCTAGAAGCTCCAATTTAAAGATAAACTTGCTACATAGAATTTCCACTCTAGTATCACTTTTGTAGCATCCCTTTTGAGAATAGGTTTCAAAGGGTACATTTGTGAAATAAAAAAGGGAGTTTCAAAAGCTGAGTGGTCTGAGTTATTAAAAAATACATAAAAATGAAGGGTTATGGATTTTTTAAATTAAAAATACCCAACAATGCTCTATCTGCCTCTATCAACACTGTTCCCTACTGAAAACATATGGATTTTGTCTCATCTAAGTATACTAAATGACAGAGCTTGTACTAGTTCACTCTGAAAAATCATTCAAGAAGACAGATTTCCCTGCCCATAAATAATGCATGATAGATCTTGCACAGAAAAAAACATTTTCCTCTGACAACAGTAGTAGCATTAGTGTGGTTTAGAGATACAAGTACTTTACAAGTGTCAAGGAACCCTAGCCCAGAACTAGTAGCAGAACATACAGTAAAGCACATTGTTTGCTGGTCTATCTGAGAATGAACAGGTAACCAACAAAAGCCAGATCGCCCAAGACCATCCCTTTTCACAGGAGACAGAATATTCTTGTTACTCTCCAGAATCTCCTCTGACCTACTTTTTGGCCCTAAGTAATTTGCTGTCCTCACTCCAATTTCTTCTTGCAGACTATTTTCCCCAAATGGCTTTGGATCTGAATGTGCAGGTTCCCAGCATTGGGTCCTGGCTGCCAGGGGAGTGTCTGTGCTGCGGGGC